TGGCACGTCTACGCAGGACCCAGGCTGAAGAGAGAGGAGGGGAATTGAAATCATGGAAATTTCATGACAGAAAGAATTTTAAGAGGATAGTTTGAGGAGCTGTTGGAAAAAATGAGAGGTGGGAAGGTAGTTTTGGCAGAAAGTTTCTAGGATGGGAGGTGTTGTGGTATTTTGGTATGCATCCTAGGAGTGGTCAATGACACTGGGGTTTCTGTGTGTCTGTAATTCCTTGACTACTTTCTACTTCACTGTTGTCTGGTTTGGGAACCAGAAATCTTTTGAGGGTCCGTTCACCTAAAGAGATTTTCAAAAGTGGATGTTTGAACAGGTAGAATTGCTGCTTCTTCAGAGTCCACACAACTGGGTCTTGGATCTTCACAACATTGTTTCTTTTCAAAGTCAGCTTTCTCTCGATTCTTTCAGCAATTTCATGGGTACTTCCAACTCTCTGAGGAACTTGGTCTCACCTTAGAATGCTAATGACCTCCTAGGTCCTTGATCCAGAGAGCCCTTCTGTGACGGTCAGTTTCTAAGAGGGCCTTCAGTGATCCTGGCCTCCTGGTAGTTATGCCTGGTGTGATTCCTTTGCCTTAAGTGTGAAGGGTCCTGTGACTTGCAAGATGAAGGGATGTCGCTTCAGTGATTAGGCTACATAAACTTGGGACTTGTGTCTTGCTAGCACTCACTCTGTTGCTGTTTGGCTTACACACTTGGATCAAGCCAGCAACCATGTTGGAGTGGCCATGTTGGAGCAGCCATTTTGGAGTGGTCACGTTGGAGTGGTCCATGTGGCAAGGCACCAAGGGCGGCTTCTGGCTAATAGCCAGCAATGAACTGAAATCCACCTGCCCTCAAGGAACTACATTCTACCAACTAATGTGTGACTTTGGAGGTGGGTCCTTCTCCAATCAAGCCTTCAGCTGAGACCCCATCCCCGGGGACACCTTGATTGCAGCCTTGTGAGAGACTCTAAAGCCGAGGATCTGGCATATGCAACACTTCCAGACTGGAAAAGATGTGGCCTCCTGTAGTTGCCTTCTGGTCTAGGATGGCCTATTAACCCTGAATCTGCTGTAAGGTACATTGTCGGGGGACCCAGATACTACTCTCCGTGACAACAAGTCACAACTGAGTGCTGGTGGTGCTCACATCTGTATCTACAGCCCAGATTCCTTTCTTGAGCTCTCAACTTGTATATTTACTGTGGAAAGAATATCTCTACTTGCTGTCCTCTAGACTCCTTCAATACAACCCTCATATTTAACTATTTTTTAGCCAGAAAGCTATTTGATTAAGTCATTCAGTTGATACACAGAAAGATTAGATATTCTGAGGTCCACCACTCAGATTTTTTTATGAAGCTACTGTAAAACAGTGAGGTTGGCATGTAGTAACAATAGTAATTATAATAATGATGATAGACTTGCCATGGAGTCAATTCTAACTCATGGTGACCCTATGTCTATCAGAGTAGAACTTTTAAATGGCTCATTTTTTGGATACAGATTGCCAGACCTTTCTTCTGAGGTACCTCTGGTGAACTCGAACCTCCTTTCAGTGTACTGTGATTTTTTGCACAAATTATGCAGCAGTTGTAGGGTTCCACTGCTTATTTGCTGTTAGAGTGGCACTGTGCTTTAAAAAAAAATTAAAGTTAGATCACTTTGGCTCTGCCTGTGGGAATTCATTAGAGCTTGGCCAAAAGTGGGTTATTCTCCAGTCGGGCTCCTGAAGGGATGATAAGGCCTCCTTGTGAACTGGCTGACCACTGAGACTGAGGTGGCCAGGAGAGACCACCCCAGGAAAGATTGATAGATGTGTACCCTTGCCATTACCATGTCATCATTACTCAGCAAAGGTTGGGTCAGAAAGACTATAGTGATGGAAGATTGCCCAAGCATAAAAAGTTCATGCATTTCTGCAGATGATCAGCTTTCCAACTTTTACAAGCAGCAGAACTATTTGTTCTCCTATCCCCTTTTTAAGATCAATAAGTTTCATAAGCAACTCCTGTATATGCAACAGATAAAAGCAGAGCTTCCCTTGTTGAAGCCAGGATTCTGAGGAAGGGATAGTACATGAGGAACAGAGTTTTGCTCCTCCACTCCCCTAGCTTTGTAAAGAGACCCTAGAAGAGCTACTTAACTGAACTGGACTTTGGAATTCTAGATGAGAAATTGCTCTTATGCCAGATGTAGCTAAGAATACTGTTCTCTTATACCATGTCCTTTCTAGGAAGATCCATAGAAGAAATTTCTCACAGATTTCATTTCCAGAAACTTTTTGTTTTCCTTAGAGTATGGTTTAATTTTTACGGAGCCTACGACTTAGGTTTCTAGAAAGTACATAGGTGACCATTTCTAGCATGTTCTCAGGGCTTCCTTGTGCTCAGTTAGGAATGTAAGAGGCAGACCCACCTGGTTTTATTGGGCCTCCTTTTATTGCACTTGTGGATATTGCCTTTTTTATGAACTGAAGGTTTGTGACAATCCTGCCTTGAGTAAGCTGATAAGAGAGCCATTTTCCCTTACAGCATGTGCTGGCTTCATGTCTCTAGGTCACATTTTGGTAATTCTTACACGATTTCAAACTTTTTCTTACTGCTACTGCACACTTAATAGACTACAGTATGGTGTAAACGTAATATTTATATGCACTGGGAAACCAAAAAAAAAAAAAAAAGTGTGACTTTCTTTATCCTGTTATTTGCTTTATTGCAGTGGTCTGTAACCAAACACTCAATATCTCCAAGATATACTTGTGTATTTTTTACTTTACTTTCCTTTTACTTGGATTTCCACTTTATTATTATTTAACTCTTAAGTTATTTATTATAAATCCTTTCTAGAACAAAATAGACTAAAAATTAATTGTTGTTGTGAAGTGCCGTTGAGTTGGTTCCAACACATAGTGACTCTGTATAGGGTTTCTGAGGAGCAGCCGGTAAGCTTGAACCACTGACTTTGCAGTTCAAATGGCTTTACAGTCTGGCGCATTAACTCTCAGTGCCAGGACTCCAAAAATTAATACATGATTTTATATATATATAGTTCTGGTGTGGAGCTGTGTTGAACTGCAAAGTCAGTGGTTGAAGCTCACCAGCTGCTCCTTGGAAACCCTATACAGGATTACAACCGACTCAGTGACACTTAACAGCAACAACAT